AGCATTCCGAGAAGGACGAGAGAATAATGAGCGCTAATACCGAGCCTCGGAGAGTTCGCGACGTTCACTGGTAATTAAGTCAATGCAACGTTCTAATGTCGGGCTTCATACAAAGCGAAATGCTTCTCGCGCGATCCCTTCTAATTCGACACGACGACCGAAGTGACATCGTATAAAGCTTCCTTCAGCGGACGTTTCACGGAACAATCGCAAAGATTCCCCGATAAAATTCGAGAGACGGGAGTGCCGCGACTCGACGACTGACAACTCGAAGATGAGCGCGTTGCAAAGGTACCTCGGCAGAAGCGGAAGAACGTTAAATCGGGTTTACGATTCGAGAGAAAGACGATACACGACGCAAATCGAGGGATGTGGTGGCCGCGAGGAAACGCGCCGTATATAGCGAGAGTTCGTCGACGTAAAGATCGCACACGTACGTCTCTATTCCATCTCCGGCGAGTGCGATTAACCATTTTCCCACCACGTTACATATCGCGCGCGCGAGCACTCCGACATTACTCATTTGCAGCTGGTGGCTTTTTCATGCAGCTGCGAGAGCGCGTTGCGCTTGGATACGAAAGCTCGGCGGATTTAACTATCTCCGAGATTTATGCCGATGATATACGTTCGTAGTAGTATAATTACGCCGTACCGTCGCGTAATTTTATCCCGCGACGTCTCCTTCGAACGCTTCTCCCTCTAATATCGGATATTATGGCAGACGCTGATTTTATTTCGCTACACTCTTCCCTCTCCGAGCGACACTTGCGGCCGGAGAACCGCGGATGTACGGAGAGGAGAAAAGGCGGGAAAAAAATGCGAGGATTTCGCGATCGATTTAACGTTAAGGACGAATGCGGATCTCTTCTCTAAATCCGACCATTTTTGGACGTCCGCGTGCTTCGTCTCCACGTGACCGGAAAGAATAAATAAATCGTGATGTAAATCCCTATAAATCCCTCGCGCTCACCCCCCTCCCACCTTCGCATTTACATTCAACATACACCCATAAATTTTTATCGACTGCATTGACGAACTGGCGACTCCCCTCCCTACCTGGCCGCTCGCTCGCGGGTCCAACAATGGACATAAATTCCACGGCGCCCTTTGTCAGGATACTACCATCGTTCTCGCTCTCAGAGACCACCCTTACACACGAGGGAGGATTATTTATACTTGCGCACACGCAGAGAGAGGGAACTGTGCAGTGCGCGTAGCTGCAGCCGATCGCGACGATCCATCATTTAATAATCTTCGTTATATCGAGCAGAAATTTCCTCAAACTAAGATTTAACGTTCGGACGTTAATCGAGAAAGAGAGAGAGGACACGGAGACGCGGTAGCATCGAATCTCCCGATGGTCGGCGTTGCGACCCGCGTAGAAATTTCCCCAGATTATTCCATATACCGCATAGATTCCGATTGGAATGCTCAAAGTTGTTCTAAAATAGGTTATCCTGCTGCGATATCAATTGAATCTCATTTTGAGATATTGTTTCTGGTTTCCATTTTACGAAATCAGATAAGTGATGGAATCGTATCCCAGTCGCGTGTTCTATTACCCCGTGAGTAATCCACGTAAACGTCGTCTGTTATAAATTTGTTTTCGAACCTTTCGACCGTAACCCCCGCAAGGTTTAATCACCGACAAGAATTTCCACGCTTTTCAACGCTGTATGCTGCTAATCACGAGAAGTCGTCGAGCAAGCGAGCCGGGAAATTGCGATTTCTTATTTGAAAAAGTCACCGATGCTACGCGCGGCGATTCGCATAATTACGACGCCTCGAAAAGGTCATCGATACAAAGAAAATCGTGATTCATTGCGTTCTTTCCAGCGTAACACGGTGCCGATATTGTCACGCCGTAATTTTCGCAACGAAGTTTACGACACTCGCGGCAACTCGGGGAATACCAGAATCAAACGATTTTACGATCATTACAACTTTGAAACGACGCCGTCGCCGCTTTCTCCGCGCGTTTCTTTTACGTTCCGTTTTCCGTCGTAATGGCGAGCGCATCGCTTTGAAGGACGCGAAGATTGCACCGAGCGTTTCTCGTTGCTTACGATAATATGACGGGAAACGGAGAAATTGCAAGGGACAAGATGAAAGGGCCAAATATTGTTGCGGAACGAGGAAGAATAATAAAAATAGAACGTTAATGCGCGAATCTAATGAAGCGCGTTGTTTGTTAAATATAGTCCCTGCGTTTTAGTCGGTCCGTATATTACACGGTTTTTCGGATAAATATATAAATTTGCTTATTTATAAGTTTTCCATGTTAAAGATAAAAAAAAACGTTTCCTTGATGTTCCGGCAACATGTGTATCCGAAGTAATTAGCAACGCTACGGCGAAAGGGAATTGTTCTTCGTTAGAGGATTCAATCCAAATATTATAAACGGAATTCAATAATATTACAATTCTCATTTCCGAATGCGATACGAAAGACCGCTTTCTGTGTGCGCGTTATGCGCGAGAATCATAAAGTTCGTCGTATCGGCGATTCCGGTCGGAGGGCGTGATAAAACACAGCGGAAGTGAATCGAATTAATTATAACTTGTAGCGACAAGATTTGCAATCAAATCAGACTTAATCCACAGAAAACTGCGCTGAGACCTTCAACATGTGCGTGTACACATGAAACGCACGCGCGACTGTATAAAATGTAAACGCATAAAATGTAAAACGCATATACCGTAAATGAACTGATTTAATGCTATTCATTCAATCTCCGGTCTTATACTTGGAGCCTCGGGGACGCAGCGGCTCTTCAAATAGAATCGCGACGAGATTACAACGGACGGAGGAATTCTCCGCGGTCAGAATTCCCTGAAGGAACGGACGCGCGGATCATCTCGCCACGAATGAAGAGTAAAATTGTACACAGCGACGACGGTCCTTGCACGTCACGTGGCCATGAAAGTATAGCGCGCTACATCGTTGACGCAATGAACAAAATACAAGGTGTATCTAAACTCCACCGACATAAACTCACAGGATAGATTCTATATAAAAAAAAATAAGTAAAAAAAAACAGTCAGTAAATATATGTCCTCAAACGCTTAATATCTTAAATATATACTGAGAAACCCATTTTAGTTGACTCAAACAAAATGCTTGTTCGGCTAAATGTTTTGGTTGTAAAAGCCAAAATTTGGTTCTCTAAAACATGTAATTGCTATAATCTCAGTTAAAAAAATATATATTTTTTTTAATTAAATATCATTAAATATCGCCATTTCATTAAATATCGCGCTATACAAACAAGTAACTAGATATACATACTGTTATAAAAATTGTTGAAAATATCTACTTCCCTTATCAATTTTTGATGATCAATGCTCAATTGATATCTGTGGAGTAAAGACGCGCGTATATTGCTTCATTATTTCTACACTAAAAAATGTTTGAATCTATCTGACAATGGACAACCAAGATCCTGGTTGAAGAAAACAGAATATATACTAGTTACAAGAGCCAAATTTGATTCATGAGAACTAGAAATTTGGTTTCATTCAACCTAAACACGATGTTTGACTGTTTATTGTCAGGTAAACCCAACCAAACTCATTGTTCAACATTACAGACAATAATAATATATCCTAACGTCAAGAATGATTCTTCGATTAATATTCAGAAATAATAGAATTGTTAAATATCTTGAAAAACAGATAAAAATGTTGTAGTAACATTCTTAACCTACTTATCGCGATACATTTTCTTACATTATTGTCATCTTCTTAAGATTAAATTTCAAAAATCAAGCTTTTGCGGATGTTTACTAAGCCTTTTTTTACTTATTTTTCAACATAAAATCTGTCTTATAAGTTCGTCGGTAGTTCAGATACACTCTGTATGTAGAGCACCATTCACGAATCGCTGCATCACGCAAGGATCACGCATTGACACGATCGAACGTGTCGAGGGGGGGAAAAAAGTACGTGACGTTAACGGATCCGAAATTAAAAAAAAAACATATACATGACGAATCACGATGTATTCGATTTACATTATTGACGAACAACGTATTTGTCTGCACGTTCAAGCGCGTAAATATTATAATTCCATATTGTGCACCATTTGCGAATGCATTTCGAATGTAAATATTTCTTAAGCAGAAATGAAAGTTATCGCATTATTTGCGTCATATCCTCTCCCCTTTTCATATTTTCGAGCGCACATGGGTTATCTGTTTATGAAAATAATATTTTAAAAACGGAGACGGCTTTTTACCCGACCGCGACGCTTATGGCGTGACCACTGAGGAATTAAAATTTCACGTACGTTATGGACATGGGCGAAAAATGGAACTCCGCTGTGCACCGCGAAATGTCGCAGGTGGATTTTCGGCGCGCGAGGTTGTCGTGGGCCATTAGGTTTGAAGAAATACGCGAATACACATTCAGATCAAGCAACGATAAGCGTCGTTTACACATTGACAACTATACGCACAATGGTCGAGAAACACACAGTCGTAAACGAGCGACGCGCAGGGAGTCCCAGTCGATCGACCTTGAAACTGTTCCGGAAAATTCGCGCGCGCAAGATCAATCGACTAACGTCACATGTAACGCAATGCTCTCGTTCGATATTCTCTACTTCTTCCTTCCGAGCAACAAAGACTGTCGGAGTCACAAGTGCAACGCACAATAACTGAATTTAGAGGACACGGTGGATCCGACAAAGTCGAAAACGCCTGCGACTACAATGGATGCTTTCCACGTAGTGACACGAGTCGACACAAACACCATTCTATCTTTGTTACTTATTGAACATGGAACAAAGCGATACTTGGGTGGACTTGTGTCACCGAGCGAAAAACATCCGATCTCTGTGCATATACAGCCACTGAGCCGGAACATCGAGCACAACAAGCGACACGACGCGCGACAGGTCAATTTCAAACTAGTATCGGCGGCGTGCGTGAGAGGAGAACCGTTAAACGACAACCGCGTAACAAGCGACACTCGCATGTGTGAGTGCTGAAAGAGACTCACCTTGTCTCTCGGCGTGGGTAGCAGGGACCAAGATCGCCAACAGCAACACCGCGAGGACCAGCTTGCACCGCACCGTCGACGAACGAACAACACCACCGTCTCTTCCGCCTCCGCCACCACCGTCGACACGCCGGGAATCGCGCGCCATGTTCCTGACGAGTTGACACGGCTGGCTGTCCGGCTGCTAGACGCGTTGGTCCCGCGACTCACGCAAACGTCATGACAACGGACGGCACACGGCTTCGCACGCACGCACGCTCCTCGCGTCTGTCGTTCGCGCGCGCACACACCACACTCGTACCGACCACCCAGCCCGACTGTTCCGACCGCGCAGACTGTTGCGACACCTCTGAAGTCGGCCGATCACCTCCCTCCCACCACCTATCGAGCCGTCGCCGGCGGAAACGGCCGAGCGCGCGCGAACGGCAGCGCGCCATGGCGCACGGAATTCAAACGTGTACGATCAGTCACATAAAGGTCGCAATCTTTTTTTTTACGAATTTCCGAACGCATCCCGACCCAATAAACAGCAACTAACAGTAATATAACATCAATGTTATAATTTCCCACTTGACAATGTAAATGCAATGTAACGCGTGTGTCATGTTAATTAATTATATTGTTGAGTGGGAAATTCTAACATTGATGTTACGTTACTGATAGTTGCTATTTACTGGAAACGCTTCTTCTTTGTGGCTGACCATACGAGATATGTTATGAAGCTCATCGAAAAAAAATGTTGTGACCTTTTTGTAACTACGTGTAATTACATTACGTGTAATTTCCTCGTCGAGATGGGCTATGTTCGTACTATGTTCACTACCAATGCTGCAAATCTATGACATATGTAACATGAACTACAGATTTTTAGTATTGGTGAATATATGAATACAAATTATTGCGAGCTACGATTTGAATGAACGGAGAAGCAATTCAATAAGCGAAATTTATTTAAAAGCTTGCTCTTGAGTAATCCGATTTTGAAATGCCATACTTTATACAGAAATGGAAATATTACTGTTTTATTGGTTTTTCTCTCTCTCTCTCTCTCTCTCTCTCTAGTAAAATTAATTATGCTTTATATCAAATGTACAGTGCAGATAACGCTGGACTCGAGATAAATTATAAATTTGCTACTAGTCGACAAAGTTTTCATTTTTGTAATCGATATCTAGAAAATCTAAAGATATTAACGACGACAGATGGTTTCTACGTGAATATCGATCAAACATTGTACAGATGGTTTTGTTTGACTAGCAAATAACAGGTGAAGATTCCTTAATCAGCTGACGACACTTCACGACGTTCTCTCATTTTCGTCTCTTACAATGGAAAACATACAAAAAGAATTAACGAGGAGAATCGTTAACATATGTAAAGCGAAAGAAGCACCGATAACCAAGGATTTAGCCTCGTTTTTGGTAACTTGATTGTCGGCGTTAACCTAGTTGTTGTTGCAAAATGCATCCTGTCGATGCAGAACGTAAGTAATGTTTACCTTCAATTTTCCCAAAAACAATTCCAGTTTTCCCTGTACCAATTGAATCCGACGTATCGAATTAAGGAGAAGGACGAGGAGAAAAATACAAGGATACTTGAGGCCATAACAGAGAGGTTGTGTGACCAAAGCAAGGCTAGTTTGACAACTTTAAAAAATCAACTATACTTTGCCAAGCATTATCATGAAAGAGGTAAGAAGAGATTTGAATATAATTCATACCTGCATAAAGCTTATCCTCCATGTTTCCCATAGATGAAACTATCAAGAGACATCGGTTACGACTTCATCAGAAAACTGTGCCTTTGGTGACCGAGATCTGTGAAGCTGACAAAATAAAAGGTGCAAAGGACACAGAAAAGTTGTATCAGAAAATATTAGCGGTAATAACGCTTTTGAGCGGTCTAGGAAGTCCTACAATCCCTTCTATTCTGAGGTATTTGTCGTGTTCTTATCAATTTAATAACTTGAGATTGATAAATCAGTTCTATCGGTAATTAAGACAATGTTAAACAAACACAAGAGAAGTGCCAATATACCCATTTTATAAGTATAAATATTTTGAATTAATATATATGGTCAATGATAAAAAAATAGAAGGGTCAATCAGAGCTAGTGCACAGTTATTATAGTACAATATTCAAATTATTATAGTAAATATCAGTATATTAAAAATCTATTACAGTGTTTAGTAGAATCCACACGTTTCGATCCTGGTTTGTTGCATGTGATGTTTACATTTCTTCGTTTTTTTATATCATGATGCATAACTGAAGATCGTCCAAACCGGGGCTGAGACGTATGCATTCTGGACTAAATATTGTAACAGGTTTTTAATATATTAATGTGTTTGTATTGTATTAATTTGAATATTGCACCATAACAACTCTGCACTGGTTCTGGTCTTTTTATTTCTTATTTTTGTTTGAATATATATATCCATATATAGCCTTATTAAATTTACTTTCAATATATGTGATTATTGCGATAAAATCTTCAGCGAAAGGGTCGATATAAATAACACTCAAAATTGATTTTATGTTAGAGAAGTCTCGGTGGCGTTGCAAAGCGTCTTCCAGACTTCCGAGCTGGCTCGCTACGTGACTTTACCGAAACGGGAGAAAGAGGAACAACTAATGGAGTTGATGTGCATAGTCGCGGGTATCCGATTATTCAACAGGGACTGTCAACGAGGTGGCGAGGGGATCGACGATCGTAAGAGCGAATAATTGATTAATCCGGCGGACGAGCTGGAGATAAAAAGAGAGAGAGAGAGAGAGAGCTCGAAACGATCGCGCGAAAGCTCTCTTCTCGCCGCAAGTGATTACCGCGTCCGTAATTGCTTTCAGTGCCAAGCATCTTACAAGAGGCTTTAACGAAGACCCGCAACTCCATCCTCGAACTGTTAGAACCGTTAATGGGCAAGGTGTACAAGTTCACGGCTGCCGTGGAAAACGCTATCGTATGCACGTCATCGACTGACGCGTCCGCGGATGTTGCATGTCGCAGCAGCTCGAGAAGAGCCGCCGCGACGTTAACCACGAGGGAAAACGTCGAGTGGGCCGTTGAAATGCTTGCGGCCAGCCGCCAGCAAGAGATCTACATCAGGTTCCTCTCCGAAAAGTAGTATTTAATATGCAATCTGACGCGATTTCTAATGCGATTTCCGCCGTAGAAAGCTGCTAAGCGACGTGGAGAGCAGCGAGAACGCGGTGAAAAATCTGATGGAACGTCTTCGGGGACGTTTCTTCAAGCTGCACGACACCGTCAGATACAGAACGGCCATTCCCACCGCTCAAGTCTATGTAAATACAATCGTGTTGTTGCCGGAAAAAAGAAGAAAAAAATAGTAGTCTGTGCGCAATGAATTTTTTTCTGCGTGTCCAGAAATGGCGTTTGTTATCTCCAAGAATCGAAAAAGCTGCGGAATCGATTTTAATAGTTTCGTCGGGACCGGTTTTCACGCCAACATCACGTCGCGTCATGTCACGTCATGATGTTTCTCGCTCAGTTAAATATGTTTTTTTTTATGTCAGCAGGGAATATTTTTATGTCATAAAATAAAATATTCCCTCCGTTTTCGAAGCGTTTGATGAATCATTCAAGGACGAGCAACGCAATTTATAAATATTAATATGCTATGTCTGTCTATATCAGCCACAATTTATCGATTTGGCGGATATATGGATGGGACTGCAAGACGAGGTAATCATTTTGAGTAACGTCAATAACTTCCTGTGGGAATTACAGAGTTTGAGCAATAAGGTAACAGTTTATTCAACCATATCGATCCCGGCGCATATTTGCGGAACACATATTTAGTGATTTATATGTACGTCCGCAGACCGTGAACGTTTACGATCAAACGAAGCTGGATGACATAGCGGAGAACGCGGATGTCCTGACTGACGCTGAGAGATTGGAACGTTCCATGGGCAACTTAATAAGTATTTAGCAATTTCTCGAATTAAAGTGCCATTCAGTCCAGAATATCCGTCCTCCGATTTCACCCTTTGACTGTATAATTAATTATTCACACAGACCGTTTCATTTGTAGCGGAGTGCGGCGAATGCCTGATATATTACCCGAACGTCACTAAGGATTTCGAGAAGATTAATTTGGAGGTAATAACGTTATAGAATATGCGTCCAAAGATTCACGCGAAGATTCTATTCGGAGAAATCACTGAAATACTTTCGATCGATTGACGGCGGAGTGTGTCGCAGTTTCTAGGATTTTGCGCGTGGACGTTCGTCGCAGGCAAGGGAGCTTTAATACCAGGTAATCCGAATAACGGTGTGGCAAAGTGGCGGGGAAAGTATTACGCCTTTAAGTCGCCGAAGGCAGCCGTCAAGTTCGGAGAGAATCCCGACAGGTACTCTCACGTAGGTTTGAGTAATCCGTAGATTCTTCAGTAACGGCGTGTCACCAGGTACGTTTACGAGGCGCTTGATTTCGTCCGCAATCATCCGGAGTACATTCATTTGTTCAAGTTGCACGAGGAAATCGAAGCCATGCAGAATCAAGAAGAGTGAGTTGTGCATCGACTGCATGCGTCGTGTCGTCTTTCCGAATGAGGTGATAATATTCGCTTTTCAAGGTTTACGAAGGAAGGCCTGCAATTAAAGGTCCGTCATAATCAGAAAGTTCAAACGGACGTCCACATTCTTCCTCCTTATGTCGATAAAGATTACACTTCTAGCGTTTGGGAGCTCAAGCGGAGAGCTTTGCGCTTAGTGAGTCGTACCAGATTGATGTTATAAGAAGATGATCAATCGGTGAAATGTTTCTGCCTTAAATACGATTACATATACGCATAAGTTCTTTTTCTCTTTTCTTTTCCAGTCTCTCGTTTGATCAACGATATGCCTTAAATACGATTACATATACGCATAAGTTCTTTTTCTCTTTTCTTTTCCAGTCTCTCGTTTGATCAACGATAATGATCTTAACTCGAGATATTTTACTCTCCTTTCCTAACGTTCCGACGTATGTTTTTATTTTCTGCATAAGTAATATATTCTTACGATGTCACAACTTATGGTTATATAATTTATAACTGCGACGTGAGTCACGCGCGATGTGGCTTCTAGATGACGAGTGAAATAAGGGGAATTTTATTAATATAACCTCACTATTTTTTCTTTCACGTGACAAAGATATATGCATCAGCGATGTTAGTTCGTCGATTCTTCTTATGATGCATTATTTGTAGGCTCTTTTTCGATTTGTAATATATCCGTTTTCTTATGCTGAAGATGTAGCATGAATACGCTTTGCTAGAGATGGTAGATACAAGTATCTTTTTTAATCATACTAACGGAGGAAGTCGCAATCGTTGATCATAAGATCATCCCATTCGTTTCTTATGTTAAATTAGAAGCTGTCTCGCGTATAAATTACGCTACAGAGATAGTAAAACTTGGAAAAAATGGTCTGGCGATTCTGTTTGCCGAAAAACATTTTCCTTCAAGATATCGGATATACTTGTAAATATTGTGACATCTCTCTCGACTTTCTTTTTGCATATATTAATCTTGATATGTTCCACATTCTACTTTCACACCTCATTTCAGTTTCGTTGAAGAAAGATACATCTCGTTCGACTACATGTATAATTTTTCAGGCAAATATAACTCGATGTGCGACACGAAGCACACAGACGTTCAACTCGCACTTTCGATATGCTGTTTACGCACAAGCAGCTCCGCCTCAGGATAAGGAAGTTCAAACCAGAAGAGATAACTACACGAACACAAAGAATCTCAAGACGTTCATATTTGGGCTGCGAGGCAGGCGGGATGACAATCAGCATGTTATATCGTTCTTGGAAGATGAGCTTGAACACTTATAAAATTCAAGTAAACGACCTTCTGTCACGTCAAACATGAAATCCTGTATACGTAAATAAAACGTTTTAATAACAATATAATGTTAGTCGTAATAAAGATTCAAACAAAATTACATATATGCAACGTTGTTAATTATCAGACTTGTATGACTGTAATACAAAGATATGTTAAAGGATATGTGTATCGGGCCATGTTTGAGGGAGAACTGCAGGAGACGATCAAAATAAATAGCACGCAAGACTCAATTAAAAAAAAATCAAAGCAATACTTTTAATGACAATCCCAAATACAATTCACGGAACATTACAGTTTAAACCATCCATCTTTCCGGGTTTAGAAAACGAATCTGCATTATAATTTATCATTCCGTGTGCACGTATCATTTTCTTGGCGTATGTAGCGCTTTCATAATCGCAAACTGCAATTATCTCATCCATGTGGCTTTTCTCGTGATAGAGAGAGACTTAGGCCTGCGTTTCTTTAATTTATATTCAAAATACACAAATTTTACACATGTCGAAGCTCGGACAGACTTGCGCGCCTAATTCCCGCGCTCCGTGAGCCTATTACATTCCCTACACTTCAACATTGTGCAGTGATCGCTGCACTATGATTTTATATGCTTATATCGTACCTTTCAGTGAATATATTGTTTTATCATTAGATCTTAAACATTAGGTCAATTTTTACACCAAGAAACCTATATTATGACAATAATTAGTAATTACACGATAATACAATTAAACTTTGCTTACAATTTCAGTGTATAATGTAGCTATTATACAGAAGAGGTACAGGATGTTGATTTTTCGCATATCTTTTCTTTGTTTATTTCCGCATTTCTTTTTAATGTCCATCACTCGTTCCCTCCATTCTGGAGGCAAAACTATCTGGCATTCTATTACATCCAAGAACAATCAACATTGCGTTTGTAACAAAAAGGGGGGAGGGGGAGGAGGAAGAAATGACAAAAAATATCACGCAATCCGTTACAGAGAAAAGTTAAGATCATCGAGATAAGAACGTATAAAAAAAAAAAAAAAAAGGGGGGGGTATATTTGTAATTCATCTCATGTATACTGAAAGAGCAACTGCCGCCGCTGTAATTGAACCGATTGTAACAAATGTCACGGGGTAAAATCGAGCTACTCATATACTTCAAACAAATTATTCTTGAATCCAAATGTGCTTTTTCTAGTTTGTCATTTAAATACCGTTACTATAACGGTACGTCATGTTTTCGTGTCGGGAGTAAGATATCGTTATTAATGACGACCATACAAATGATATATAACATTTATTCCGAATTAGATGACTTAAAACCGGCTTATTGACTGTTGGCCACTGTAATGTTTTCCACATTTCGAAATCATCTGAGCGTCCATGGTAACAATTGTCCCAACAATTAGATTCGTCAATGTGCAGTCAAAATGCACGTTTCACACAAATATTCTACTTCAAAAGAAATTTATAGAAACTAATAATTCATTGGTTGTTATGTCATAAATTATAATTATAAAATGTCACACATTAGCATAAAACATTTAATAATCAATGACAACTGGGACAAAACTGTTAACGATGGGCGGCAGACTACATCGGAATGGTGTAAACATGGTCTAAAGTCTTAAGTCGCAAGAAATACGTTGTGTCTCATGTATATGTATATATTTTATGTATTTTGTGAGAAAGATGGAGAGGTGCACGCGCACCTTGGAATATGTTATATGTATATATAACTTGTCGGAGATCGGGATTTGGGGATGATTTAGTCTACAAAATGATTTTTGAGGTATTTCATCATACCAAAAGTTCTAAAACGCTTCACGCCGATTACCTTCATTAGTTCCTCGTCGCAAATCGCGAACTGTTTATTCTTAGGGTCCTGTAAAAACAACCAGCACTCTTGGTAACGTGATCTTTTCTCGAATATGAATACATTGATTCAATTGTATGAATGTGCTATGCGAATGACGAAGTAGAAAATATAGGACAGATATAAAATATTCGAGGTCAGTGGTTACAAATCATACTTACATAAAGATTTCTTTCTTTAATGATACTCCATACTTTCTTGACGACTTCATGTCGAGCCATTTGTTCAGCGCCAACAATTGCGGCAAGCTCTGGAGACAGCGTGATAGCACGTGTATAACCACCACCACCTTTGCCCTTACCGCCACCCTTCTTTGCTGCGCTTCCTGGAGCCTTTTTATTCTTTCCCCAGTCTTCATCACTATCACTGTCGCTGCCCTTCTTCTTTCCCTTCTTTCCGGGCTTATCTGTAAAAAGAAATGGGAGAGTTTGACTTAATATTCAATGCTCGATCGATAAGCTTTTCCTTTTTTTTTTATAAATAGAATTTAGAACAATACTTTTTTTGGGTGTAACTTTAGGTTTCTTTGGGCTGTATTCTTCATCGCTAGCATCGTCGTCGCTGGCACTTTCCTCATCATCAGATGAGCCCTTCTTGCGTTTGCTGGGTGCCTTCTTGGTAGGACTCCGCTTAGCTGGCTTTTTTTCTTCCTCCTCCTCCTCCTCCTCTGATGCTTCTTCCTCTTCCTCCTCACCATCTTCGGACTCTTCACTAGCAGCCTTCTTCTTCTTCTTACCTCCATCTTGTTTCTCTTGAAGACACTCCATAACTAAATCATCGACCTCCTTCTTCCTACAGAGAGAAAATAGTTTGTGAGAGTGTGGCAGTAACTGTTATCAAAGGTGGGAAGAACATGACTTGAGATGAAAGTGTTGGAGGAGGAACGAGGTGGCGACTTATTTTGTACTTCAGTCCCACTCAGAAATCCTCTTTGTTTTCTCTTGGACATTGAGAGACTCTCTTTTGCACTATATGTTCGTGCATAAGTACCTGCTATGTATGTCCATTTTAATTTTCATTACAATTCTAAAAATAATGTATATTCAATGAAATAGGTATATTCGACACTCTACCAAACTACATTATGATAAAAAATATTACACATATGATAAATTATCAAGTCAAATTCAATTTCTAATTAATAGCACATTTCGTAAAGATCATTTTAAATTATGATTGAATATAAATATATTTATAGAAATATGCTTTCTCCCCATCTTCTTTGTAATATTTTTTTGAAATATCAATATTTTATTATACATATTAAACATTTTATTAAAATATCAATTGTTACAAGGTATTAGAAGTATTTAAATATTAATAATAATAACTTTTATCGACTGCTTACCTTTCTGTAAGATCAACATCGAGTTTCTCCTCGATTTGTTGCCTTACTTTCTTGGCAGACATTGTAGTAAGATCCGCGTCCTTGAGGATAGCTACATAAAATTAATAAATCAAATCAAATGCATGTTGATAGAGTATGTTTTGTTTAAAAATTCCTGTACAAAGATACGTGGGGCAGAATGTGCAATAAGGGATATTTCACATATGTTAAACAACAACACATTGCATAAAACTCTGAATTCTTACGTAGAATTATTAACATCAATCATAAAAATACGACATTGTTTTTACAGAAATATTTTATTTATATCGTAGAAGTTGTATATTATCCATGTAACGTTCTCAGCAGCATTATTCGCATTGTTAAAAAAAGGAAGAAAGCGTGACTGAGAGCGCAGGTGGAAAAAGAAAAAAAAAATGCGCCAATCTATCAGGACGAGTGGTAATATTCGCGTGAGAGGAGGAACGCGCCGTTTGTTCGCGAGAAGACATCCCGCGCGCGCGTCTAGTGTGTACGCGGGCTCTGGGGTAATATAGTTTCCCGCGTCGGGGGATCTAGTAAATATCGAACGCAAATGGCCGCCGTGGCGCGCGCTGTGCCGGTCGTTGCCGATCCGCGCAGCGTACCGCCAACGGCGAGATATCTGTAAGTACGCGAGGAGGAGTCGGTAAGACGCGTGGAGCGGGACGAAGAGGGATTTTTCTCCGCGTACCGCGGTCGATCGTGCGGCGCAATGATTCCCGAAACGATCGAAAACCGCGAGAAGACGCAGAGGGAGGAAGATAGGTAGATACAAAGGAGCGAGGGGGAGACAAAGAGAGGGAAGAGAGGGAGAGTGCATGTATGCGCAGCGGAGGGAACGACAGCCGTTGTGGCGCGGCAGCGCGGAGGTCGTGCGCGGTCGATTCACTTCGCCGAAAAGCGCTGAGGAAAAAAATACGCGCGCGGTAGCAGCGCGCGCGCTTCGTTAAGCATCGACTAGCGCGTTAATCCGCAATGGGCGAGTCTCGCGCGAGAGACCATCGCCCGACGACCATCGCGCGCTCCATCATGGTAAAAGATAGCAAAATGGTAAATATCTCGGGGAACACAGAGAGGAGGTGTACAACATCGGCGGTGGTGGCGGTTATAACGAATGACGATCCAATCGGCGATTGGCGAGAAGGCGCGCAAAGGAGGGAAAAGGGCGACGCGCGCGCTCCGTTCCGATCGACGAGCAAGCATATCTCGGTATACGAAGGAGATTCGCACAGGGATATGCACTTTTTTTCTCTCCGATACACACAGAGGCAAAAATCCGCGATGACGGCGCGGCTACGCGGGACGGAGGGGTGCGACGCAGCGAGCGAGCGAGCGAGGGCACGAGAAAAGGCGAGAAAAGAAAAGAAGAACGAGACACGAACGCACGAGAAAGAGAGAGCGAGGCCGATAGGCGCGCGCCACCACACACACTCTCGAGACGCGTCATACGGCAAGGACGGGTCGAAAGCTATCTTTTTATAGCGAACGGCGAAAAATCGGACTTTTCGCCAGGACACCGAAGTACACGGTCTGAAAATCGCGAGCGAATTGCACGCGGCGTACCGTCGCCGCGTCCCGTCGTTAGCACGATACGTAGGTGGTGAAATACGAAGAGCCGTAGGTTGTAATGGCCGGCGCGGGGCACGCCACTCGGGCACATACGTGCGCGCTAAAGTCCTCATGTCGCAAGAGCAAAGAGCCCGATTTCGCCCGTATTCCCGGTGCCACGGCCGCGTGAAACGGACGCGAACGCCCACGCCGAGCTCGGTTACGCAGTAATACGGAGCCGGAATCGCCTACATCGCGCGATATCGCCACTTACCGGTGATCTCCTTGCGTAGCTCGTCCTTCGAGATATCGGCCATGGTAGGTGCTTCTAGTCGAACGTACTGCTGCCAACTGAGCCTATGCCGGCTACGGACTCCTGTAGCGTCCGTTGGTACAGTCAGTGCTGGCAACGCAGCGATACCCTCGCTTACGACGCGCCTTTCCACGCGGATAACTCGACAACGATCGCACCTAGACGAATACTCTATACGCCAAATCGTGTTAGTTTTTTACGCCCGACAAGTTTCTCATGACGCCCCGCGCGTAATTCGGCGATCGGAGTGTGCCAATTCGGTCCTTCCGTGCGACTCGCGCGCTCCACTTTCCCGAGTGACTGTCCGTGAAGCGGCCGCTCGTGTGGCTGCCGGCGGCGTCCATGTACAGTCTGCGCGCGTCGCCAACGGCAGCGCTTCCAGAAAAAGGCTCTTCAACGCGCGATAACTTCCTGCTGCGGCCACCAAGGCGGATACTATATACACCAAATCGGGTCAACTTTTTTTTCTCTACAAGTTTCTCATAACGCCCCTGGCACAATATTGCGATTTAACAGGCCCGATATGCCAGCTCTTCGCGCGGGCCGCGCCAACTTTTCCACGCTGACTGTACCAAGCAGCAAGCACACTCCGAGTTTTCGTAGCGTCGAGAGCGCCTAGTCGCCCGTCATATGACAATCAGTACGTGTTCCAGGGATGTCATTAAAGAAGGAACGCTCATTCGCATATGACGATGACGACGGTGAACGTCGATGCGTGAGGAAAGCTTGCGTCCGCCATTCGGACGGCCGTCCGGACGCTTTGCACAATCCGCTCGATTGACTGTTAATATTTTTATCCAACTATCGCGTGTCTGTTTGATGAAAAAAGAAATAGATATGTACGTATACATGTGTGTATATGTGCGTATATGCTGGAAGTAGACTGAATTTCGATGCTACCTCGTCAGGTGACAGATCTCTACGGGCCCCACCGATTCCTCGCGCACCGAAAAGTCATCCTTTAAGCATAATCGCGCCCAATCAGCGCGATATTTTAACAGGCCGCGGCGGTAGAACCAGCCGCTCGGTTCCTTCGTCGTGTTAGAGGTACAGCTACGGCCAAAAGTATCCGTAGACTCACCGCGATAAATGAACTTCGAAGACCCATAACTCCGTAACAGTGCGTCATACGACGATACTGCAATCACATAATCGTGTCAGTTTGTCACGACGAAGATCTTTCTCATGAAGCCCCTCGTCCGATTTTATCATCTAACCAGTCGGTGTGACCCACTTGCCGCGTGTCCCGATATTACTCTCAGCACCGACTGTACACTGCATCCAGCGTGTCCATTTGCCAGTGAAATATCTTAATGAGACACCGTGCAAATTTATCCCATAAACCGTGTCGTAAGAATAAAAAAAAAAAGCACGCTTCTCGCTGAAATGCGCAATCGCATCTCTCGGTTACGGCTTCTGCATGTTATTTATCGATGACGTATTGCAACATAATGCCGCCACGAACGTTTGAACGCTCTAACATGGCCGTGCTAATTTTCGCGGTTGCACCTGGCCATGGGGCGGCTCTTTCCTGTGCCTCGCGACCGCAACGAGATGATATCCGGTGGCTCGTTCGTGTACGACAGTTGCGCGCATCGCGGCCGCTCGATTCATTGCCGAAAATCCCACTGCAACGTGCCTGACTCGTCGGGAATTACGTATTTTCCCCCGAAAATATTACTTTCCCTCTCAATTCGCGTCATTTCCGATCGCATTGTTGGCAATACCTACGAAGAGACTGCATTTCGGCATGTCAAAGCGTCCAAATCTATGATTGAGAATTTCCACGGAAAAATTTCACCAGGCTCTGTGCGAAGCACCGAGTGATTTTATATTACCGATACATAGTTCGAGATGATACTTACAGTTGCTGATTTGCCTCAGAAATATTGACATTTTCGCGTTATGAAGGGACACGTTGCGCTATCTGTCGGTGACACCGAGTATCGTTTCCGCGTAACAGGTGCAGCGAAATGAACACAGCATAATGGTAGGCGTAGGTAAAGGATAGCAAACTGGTATCATATTAAATTCGTTATTATCACATATTCGATGTATTCTCTGCTACACCTTCTTCAGATACTCTCTCTTAAATCCAACGATAAGACATACGACAGTAATCTTTGCTACGAATCGATTGTTCTCGATGCACTTTCCAACGATAAAGTGTAGTAGTCTAAATACAATCTCGGGGAGTAAGATGCGCTAAATAACTTACAACATGTTTAAGGTTTTTCATGCAACGTGAAATCTCATAGGCGGACTGCAATTTCGTTTGTCGCGATAAAATCGTTAGTACTTCAGACGGTATCTCAGACAGATTCCGAATATTTTACGTTATTTCATATCGCGCGGTTATTAATAGATGGACGGGACGCTGAGATTGGTCGGCTCGCTACACAGAATGCACCAATCAACTTGTCGCGAGATATGTGCAGTAGTTGCGGAACGGTTATGGCGCGGTGGTGCGGGTTCGAAAATCCGTTCCGTATCTTTCGGGAATTTGACTCACTTAAAGTGTGTCTCGCGCACGAATCGCCGCTGAGAGAATCGGTATTAAGCGTCGCCCGTTGTACGTAGCAAAATATCACAAGATAACTACAGAAAGCGAGCACCTCACAGGAGTATTGCTGATAACCTATCGCGCGACGGTTACAGCGCTTCGCAACTGTCGTTCTTGGAATGACGTTCTTGGAATTTCGCATTGTCGGCCCATCGAAGGAGCTTCTTGCATGAATTAGCCGATAATATCCGAAGTAGGTTTCTTATTCTGTGTTGCATCGCTATATGGACACTATAACCGCCAAAAGCTAAATTTCGCGTAATGGCCGTCGCCGACGTACCGAGTGAAGTTGCGCATTCGATACTTCGAGAAACTCAATCACTGCGATGCTCTCAGTTGCAGAACGGATCATGGCGCGTCGTCACGTATCCCGAAAGCTGTTCTGCATTTCTCGTTATTTTGACTCGCGTCAAGTGAGTCTCGCGCGCGAATTATCGTCGAGAGTGAGTGATAGTGTTTCGCGCATTGTTCCCGACAAGACTCTGCGTGAAATATCTACCGCAAGTATTTTGCGAAATAGTCCGTCGGGAGTGCTGTTTGATCTATTGCGCATTCGTATCGTCATGATGGCTCCGAATTTCTCCAAATTTCTCGGAATGAATTCGCAATACGACTCACCGAAAGGGTCTCGCGTGCGGATTACCACCGAGAATACCGAAAATGCGTGTTCCTCGTGATGAAATGAAATTCGTGAAACAGCCACTGAAAAATGCGTATCTCGCGAATCGGGCCGCCGGGAGTGTCGGTTGGGAGTCTACCATGTTGTAGCAGTTGAAGTTCAAATTGCTTTACGTCAACTTGATTCGAGTCTGCGATTCGTTCCGCCGCAGGAAAACTCGGTGAGTACTGATAGAGTGAAGTCTGCCATAGATAGCGCGTCTGCGTTATTTGCACGACGAGTTGTATCTTTCATTTGTGTATTCGAATGCCAGCTAACAAGGAGCAATGCAAAAATTAAAATATTCACCATTCTTTTTTCGTATAGTGTGCTTATTCAGTTACACAAACTAAGATTTTTTCTATCTCTTCTGTAATAAAATATCACGCTAAAAATAATATGCATCTGTACTGTTGTAGCATTTCGAAAATATTGCAATAATATTACAATACGATAGATCATATGGTAATATTTGTGAAATATTGTAGTGATATTTTAAAGTTATATGTCACATTGCAATGAAATACAAATATTGCAGAAAATTATATTGCGATTTATTGCATTTTAATATCTCAGTAATATTATTGCAATATTACGTACTGTTTGGGTCATAGTCTCATCAAAACAGTGCTTACATAATGTCATGTCAATATTTGGATATACAAGACCCATCCATGTATATTCAATGTTGACGATACATCTTTTTGATGTAATGGTAACGACATACCATTTTAGTATCTAAAATCACATCAAAATTATGTTCTATTCAAGTTATATCATTATTATCAAGATCATATATTTTCACGTCATTTTGATATTGTCTTGTTTATTGGGAATTGAGCATGAAATTTTCAAATTACTCTAAGGCCCCATTTTTTATTTCCTAGTTAGTTGTGGTTTAAACTGATCATAATGTAAAAGTTATATTTTTCTATTCATAGTGAATCATTAAACCAATGATTTTGTAGTGATAACTTTTAAAATTTTGTGATTAACTATGAATAGAAAAATATAATTTTTATGTTATCATCAGGTTAAACCTAAACTACAACTAGAAAATAAAAGAGCAGGCCTAAGGGTGGCTTTCACCAATCTTGGTTCGGTCAACCGATGGTTAACTTAGCGGAATTGATCAATCGCATTGATCAGTTCAGCTAATTGGTCATTTCCATTTAGTTAACAATCGGTTGACCGAACCGAGATTAGTGAAAGTCATTCTAAAGCGAGGGAGAACGGTCGGTTATGTCGATGCACTTCAATCTTCAGGTCTCGTTGGTAATCGCAACATTTTACTTGAAGTAACCTACAATATCGGCCAACGGTATTGATGTGCTATTTGAATGTGCTTCGTGGGTGTCGATATATATTGTTGATAAGATTGTTCCCTGTATGTTTAATTATCCATAGGACTAATTGTGAAATACAGCGACGGAAAATGTTTTGCATAATCGAGATCAGCCGTTTTGACTTTTATTATGGCTGATATTCATAGTCGGATCTTATGTTTAAAACCGTCTTAAGTTTATCTTCAGATACTGTACATCTCGTTTCATTGGCTACGAAATATCTCAAGATGAATTTAAGATCATCTGAAATATAACTATAAATATCGGCCTATGTCAACGAACGATTTTGTAGTTTATGCAATAAATCCTCGATTGGGAGCCAAAGAGTTATTGTGCGGTCGATATCGAGGGATCTGCAGTTGTTCGATGTTTTCCGTCGCGCCGTTAGATGTTGCCAGCGTGCACGCATGCAGATCGCGTTCGGATTTCAGGTTTTAGAATATCGGATGGTGGGACGGCGACTTATAGTTCTCGTATTATTATTGCTATTTGGTTGTACCA